ATGCAGTGGTTGGTCAGAGAGCCTGCATGTAATTGCAGCTGGGTTTGTCCCTAGCTGTATGAATGCTGGAGGAAGTGTAGGACCAGGAGCAGCTCTGCAGCTTGTCACAGCAGCACAGTGTGAAAAGGAGCCCAGGCTGTTGGGTCAGAGGGCTCAGTGGTACCCCAGTTCCAGGTGGCACCCTGGGGGGAACTCCTCACATCTACTCCCAGGGTGATGCTCTCCATCTTCCTTGGTCGGATCAGTTCAATTATGCCTTTCCTTTGCTACTGCTTCTACCATGAGTTTTATGCAAAATCTGGCAGGGCAGAGGTCATCCTGATCGCCCCTTACTGGCCCCGACAGTTCTAGTTTCCCCACCTCCTACACGTCATCCCGGCTACTAATCAACCTCCCAATGTTTCCTGAACTCCTGACCCAATGGAACAGCAAGATCAAGCACCCTGATTTGCGTCCGTTCCACCTCAGGGCTTGATATTTGGATGGGTATCATCGTTAGAATGTTCAGTTGGGGAGTGAACCTAACCCAGCCTTGAGAGACATTCTTTCTAATATTAGGAAGGATTCTATTAGAAGATGTTACTCCTGGGAGGATTTTGTGCCAAAAATTTAAAAATTCTGCATATTTTATTTGTCAAAATAATGTAATATAATCACATCAGTTTCAGTTGTTTTACAAGCAACAACTATGGCATCATTTCAGAAGGTGCCTTTCCTTGATATCTGCAAAGTGGCCACGTGAGGCTCTGTTCATGCATTTGCAAGACATTATGCCCAGGTGCAGGACTCCTCTGCTGATACTTCCTTTGGGACTGCAGTCCTCCACTCAGCTCCACCGTCTACATCCTCACACCTTCCTCCTACTTCAGTAGTGCTTGTCAGTCACCCACGGTGGAATACAATAGGAACCATCACTCGAAGAAGAAGAGGAAGTTACTGACCTGTAATGGAGGTTCTTCGAGATGCGTGGTCCCTCTCTGTATTTCATTACCCTCCCTCTTTCCTCTCGGTTTTGGATCTTCTCTGATTTGCAGGAGAGAGAGAACTGAAGAGATGGTTGGTCTGCCCCACCCTTTATGCCCTCGGATGGAGGCTCGAAGTGAGCCAGGACATATGCACGGACCAACTGACCTATTTTCAAATTCTCCAGCTCCGGGCACGTAGTGCACATGCATAACCCACAGCGGAATACAGATAGGGACTGTACATCTCTAAAAACCTCCATTACAGGCCTCTAACTTCCTCTTCACTTGCTTTTGTTCAAAACTTCTTGCTTTTACATTCCCTCGTCTAACTTACCAGTTTCCCATTAGATTCATTGGGGGAAGTCCATCCCCCAACACCCAAACAGGTTTTCTTATCAATTAGGCTGATTGACAGTAGATTTAATGTAGCCTCCAACCATGACTACAAACCTAATGCAAACCCCTTTACCTATCAGTTGTCTTAAAATTTCTCTAACTTATCTCTTTTTAGAGTGGGCGCTTGAGTGGTGTTTTCAATCTTTTATCCTCTAAGCACACTTGACAGAAATAGAAATATCTGTAGGAATAGCACTGTTTACAAATTCCAGATGTTTAAAACATTTCTTTAGAGTTTATTTAGGTCTGTCAAGCAGTTAAAAAAATTAATTGTGATTAATCGCACTGTTAAACAATAATATAATACCATTTATTTAAATAGTTTCGGATATTTTCTACATTTTCAATATATTGATTTCAGTTACAAAACAGAATACGAAGTGTACAGTGCTCATTTTATATTTATTTTTATTACAAATATTTGCACTGTAAAAAACAAAAACAAAAATATTTTCCAATTCACCTCATACAAGTATTGTAGTGCAATCTCTTTATTCTGGACATTGAACTTACAAATATAGAATTATGTACAAAAAAATAACTGCCTTCAAAAATAAAACAATGTAAAACTTTAGAGCCTACAAGTCCACTCAGTCCTACTTCTTGTTCAGCCAATCGCTCAGACAAACAAGTTTGTTTACATTTGCAGGCGATAATGCTGCCTGCTTCTTGTTTACAATGTCACCTGAAAATGAGAACAGGCGTTCACGTGGCATTGTTGTAGCCAGCGTTACAAGATATTCATGTGCCAGATGCACTAAATATTCATATGTCCCTTCATGCTTCAACCATGCATCCATGCTGATAAGAGGTTCTGCTTGATAACATCCAAAGCAGCGTGGACCGACACATGTTCATTTTCATCATCTGACTCAGATGCCACCAGAAGAAAGGTTGATTTTCTCTTTTGGTGGTTCAGGTTCTATAGTTTCCACATCTGAGTGTTGCTCTTTTAAGACTTCTGAAAGCATGCTCTACACCTCATCCCTTTCAGATTTTGGAAGGCACTTCAGATTCTTAAACCTTGGGTCGAGTGACGTAGGTATCTTTAGAAATCTCACATTGGTACCTTTTGTGTTTTGTCAGATCTGCAGTGAAAGTGTTCTTAAAACAAACATGTGCTGGGTCATCATCTGAGACTGCTATAACATTAAATATATGGCAGAATGCGGATAAAACAGAGTAGGAGACATACAATTCTCCCCCAAGGAGTTCAGTCATAAATTTAATTAATGCTTTTTTTTTAACGAGCATCATCAGCATGGAAGTATGTCCTCTGGAATGGTGGCCAAAGCATGAAGGGGCATACAAATGTTTAGCATAACTGGCACGTAAATACCTTGCAATGCCGGCTTCAAAAGTGCCATGCAAACGCCTGTTCTCACTTTCAGGTGACCTTGTAAATAGGAAGCGTCCAGATTATCTCTCATAAATGTAAACAAACTTGTTTGTCTTAGCAATTGGCTGGACAAGAAGTAGGACTGACTTGTAGGCTCTAAAGTTTTACATTGTTTTGTTTGAGTGTAGTTATGAAACAAAAAAATCTACATTTGTAAGTTGCACTTTCACGATAAAGTACTTGTATGAGGTGAATTGAAAAATACTCTTTCTTTTGTTTGCCATTTTTGCAGTGATTTTGCAATAAAAAATAATACAAAGTGAGCACTGTCAACTTTGTATACTGTGTTGTAATTGAAATCAATATATTTAAAAATGTAGAAAAACATCAAAAAATATTTAATAAATTTCAATTGGTATTCTATTGTTTAACAGTGCGATTAATCACTATTAATTTTTGTAGTCATGATCGGTTTTTTTGAGTTAATCGCATGAGTTAACTGCGATTAATCGACAGCCCTAAATTTAATTTGAGATTTGTATCTGGAGCTTTGCATCGCTTCCTGTTCGGAGACAGAGTGGCACACTCTCCTGCTGATTCCTCTTGCAGAAGGCACTTGGAATCTACAGTGAGGGGGGTCATAGAAGTATCTAGGACAGATAGTATCCTTGTCACCTACTCATAAGTCCATTTCTGTGAGGGGAGGAAGGTATGACGTTGTGCAGTCTATATGGTTTTATAAAAACATGATAATAAGTGAATATAATGTAACTGGGATAGTTTTATAAAAATTTGATAAGTGACTATAATGCAAATGGGATATGCTTCGTGCAAAAGGTCTCTTGTAAGGTATCATTACAAAGCTTATAATCTACCGAGTATGATCATCTGATTTGTATAAATGTACCACTCTTGTATCTAAAACTAGAAATATAAAACATAACTCTGAGGGCCTATTGTAATTATGTAAAGTGTGGGCCATTAATGATGGTTTGGAATCTTGATGACTCCCATTAACAAGGACCATTGTCTGCAGATGACTGTGTTTACCTGTGAGTCTTCCTGTATATGTGTGTGCTGGCAAGTGAGTAATGAAGTCTTGCAGTGACATGTGATCATGTCATCTGAACTGGAATCCATCTTTAACCTGGTGCTTTTCCAGTGAGGGGGCGTGAAAACCCAGAGGGACAAAGAGTTCCCGCCTTATGCAAAAGATATATAAAGGGGTGGAAGAGAACAGAGGGGGAGAGGAGCCATCATGGAGAAGCCCCTAGATAACACCTAAACTGGAACAAGAGCTGGACCAGGGGAAAGAATTGTGCCCAGGCCTGGAAGGTGTCCAGTCTGAGAAAAACTTACTGAAGCATCTCTGAGGGTGAGATTATCTGTATTTAGTTTGATTAGGCATAGATTTGCGCATTTTATTTTATTTTGCTTGTGACTTACTTTGTTCTGTCTGTTACTACTTTGAACCACTTAAATCCTACTGTCTGTATTTAATAAAATCACTTTTTATTTAGTAATTTACTCAGAGTATGTATTAATACCTGGGGGAGCAAACAACTGTGCATATCTCTCTATCTGTGTTATAGAGGGCGAACAACTTATGAGTTTGCCCTGCATAAGCTTTATGCAGGGTAAAATGGATTTATCTGGGTTTAGACCCCATTGGGAGTTGGGCATCTGAGTGCTAAAGACAAGCACACTCCTGTGAGCTGTTTTTGGGTAAACTTGCAGCTTGGGGACAAGTGATTCAGACCCTGGGTCTGTGTTGGAGCCAGACTGGAGTGTCTCGCTCAGCAAGACGGGGTGCTGGAGTCCTGAGCTGGCAGGGAAAACAGAAGCAGGGGTAGTCTTGGCACATCGGGTGGCAGCTCCCAAGGGGGTTTCTGTGATCCAACCCGTCACAGAAGGTACCTCCACCATAACCTGACTTAGGGGAGGAGGCAAGGAAACAAGGTAAGAGAGCACAGGGTGCTGCTGATAGGCCAGGTCATAGAAGTTATTTGCCACAGCCAACTAAAGCCTCCAGATTAATTTTAAAAAATAAATTGGAATAAACTGAAGACCTTTCTCTTTAAAGTATGGTTCTCAACTCAACCCCACTTTAAGATAAGTGTCTGAAGAGGAAAATCCAATGAAAGGAGGCAACTCATCTACAGAACCATATCTTCATTAGTTGTTGCTGTGAGTGACAGTAGAGCTTCCTGCATTGTAATCAGCTTGTTACTACAGCAAACAAGCCATGAAACAGCTGATTCAAAATAATGTCTAAGGGTGTTGTATTCATATATTTCTAGGGTCCTAAAGGTGAAGCGGTTGGTTCTATAACTCAGCCGTTACCCGGCAGTTATTTGATCATCCGAGCAGCTTCAGAATCAGATGGTAAGTAAATTTCTTGTTTAGTTTTTATTTTTCATTTTTAAAGTGCTTGCTTATTAGAGATTCAAATTATTCCATTTCTCTTGTACAGTGTGTAACAGCATCATATTTGCAGATCCGTAGTTCAATTGAACGTGCTCTTTTTATTAACCCAATATATTAGATAGCTATAATGCAAGCATTTTTATTTCATATCATGAAGTAACTTTGCAAAGTTTTAGTAGTTATAAATTTTGACTTCTTTGAACTAAACATTTGAGCCTACTTAAAAGAGACTAACAAACACTGCCTTGTAGAAGAGGTGTTAGTCCACATTAAATGCCAAATATCTTGGAAGATTCTAAATTAGAAAGAATTTCAAAAGACTATTATTGTGTAAACTTTGGTGAGTAGCTGCTATTCAACTGCACTAGTTAATTAACTTAGCACTGCAATATACATTTTATATAGGTCTTATTGTTGAAAAGGTTATGGCCAACTTAAAATCTAGTAAATTTCAAGAAATGAATGAAAAGTAATTTCATGACCTAGTTGTCCTAAATTCGCTTTCAATTTATTTGGTTTTATAATCAATTTCTTATTTTTCAAAATGCTTTTTGCTGTCCTATTGCTGTTGAAAGACCCCAGAAAATTGACCAAACATGGGAAATAGCAAAGATGGCTAAACATAAAGTATTACAGTGAAAAAAACAGTTTTTTCTGTGATCTTTCAACTATAATCTTTGGTCTAGTCTATTAGAGTTCTTTGGGTGTATCAACAAAACAGGGACAGAAAACGGAGGAGGAATAAATGGTCAGTTTTCAAGATGGCAAAAAGTTAATGGCTGGGTGCCCCAAGGTTCTGTTCTAGGACTGGTTGGTGTTTGATCCCTTTTTCAAAGCATTACTAAATTGAAGGGCAAATTTTGCATATGACAGAATTATTTATGTTAGCCAAAACTAGAGAAGGCTATAGGGAACAGCAGAGAGATCTAATAAAGTTAGGTGACAAAGCACAATAGCAGATAAAGGTCACTGTTGTGAATGGAGAAATGGTACATTGGCAGGAATAATTTGAACTAATCAAACATTAGCTGGGGTCTGAATTAATTAGTTGGGGAAAAGGTTGGTGTTCTTGTGGACCACTTGGTGAAAACGTTTCCTCGGTTTAATTGTAAAGTTAAAATGTAAGTATGTATAAAGAATGGAATGTCTGAATTGAACATTTGCTGATGTGTTTTTGTAAGCAGGTGCTTTTAAGAAAGTACTGAAGTTTTATGTATTCGCAGTAAGGAACAAAAATATTGCAAACAGGGAAAGAGAATTCAGTACAGTTGACACTCCATGCTTGAAAGTTGAGTTGGCAGGCAAAGAAGGGAGGTGGCAGTCTGCCTCTATGAGGGAAAAGGCATATCTGCTGTGGCTTCTTCTGTTATAACTAAGGTTAAGATTTTGTCTCTGTTACTTTTTGTTTATTAAAAATTCACAGAAGCCCATGACCTGTCCGTGACTCTTACTAAAAATAACTGACAAAAAAGGGGAGTGAGGGGTCCATCGCCTGTTGAAATGGATCTTTAATGGCCCACGGCTGGGCAGATTGTTACTGGTACCAGTGAAAATTCAGGTTCAATTTGCTCAATGCACAGCAACTTACTTAAGAGAGAATCACACAAGCAGTAAAAGGTTATGTAATACGTCCTCCTAATAAGCTTCAATTCCCCAAGCATAAACCCTCAGTAACTATCTTGGCCCTACACAGTATCCTGGCAGGCAAACAAAGCAGGTATAGCTACCAGTCCTAGATAGAGACTTCTTTTCTTCTCTTCTCTTTTCAAGTACTTGGTTACTCTGAGGCCCTCTGGTTTCAAAAGTCCCTCGTAGCAGGGTGTTGGCTACCCCTAAGACCCTCTGTCTTACAGCATCACAGACCTCTTCAGATGTTAATTGGAGAGCTCACTAACGAACTAACTCTGCATGTATGGTATCCTTAACATTTATACCCCTTGCTCTCAAAGGAGTCCCAGAAATATGCCCTGTGGGCGTTTCATTACTGGTTTTTCTAATTAATATTTTAAAAGGGACTGCAAAATAGACAGAGACCAAAGATCAGTTGACATTTACCCTCTCATCCATCATTCACTTGAGCTCTTATTGTGGTGCCATCCTAACCATTCAATACCAAGCTCACTGATAGCATGTTTTCTGCGTTTTCTTTACTTTTGTGAGCTGGCCATCGGCTGACATGACCGGAGTTCCAAGCTGAAACACGCACAGATAGAGTCTCTGATTAACAATTCAAGTGCAATTTCAGCGGACTCGGTAAATTTCCATACAAACGGTCTGATGTTAAGAGAGCCCTGCTCCCAGAATCCTCTAGCCAATTCAGACATACCAAGCCATACCAAACTCATGTTCACCACGTTCATTCATATCAGTCACAGTAATTCACAATACAAATTTGGCACCATCCCAACATCACCCATCGCTGCTGTCGCTCGCGGCGGCTGGGAGCTCTAGAGTCTCCACCACCCCACAGAGGCTCGGAGCTCCGGGACTGGTGGCTCGGACCTGCGGGGGCTCCCGCCGCGGCTCGGAGCTCTGGGGTTGGCAGCTGAGAGCTCTGGGGCCCCCGCTGGCTGACAGCTCTGGCCCTGGGGCTGAAGCAGAAAATGTCACAGAGGTCTCTGGAAGTCATGGATTCCGTGACCTCTGTGACATAAACGTAGCCTTAGTTATAACATTCTGGTCTATGATCTTGCCAGTCCTACCCTGGAGTCCCTTTCACATCTAGACAGGGAGTAAGTTATTTTTATATTTTAGGTCTGGAATGATATTAAAATCCAAGTCACCTAATGTCTGTGGACTAAGTGCATTTATTATTCTAGTATGTGCCTTTCAAAGGTAAGGTATGGGGGGGGCCCTAAATAACTCATCATTGTGAAGTGAACAATATCAAATTCCATTACTAACAAGCATCTATCTTTAGGCAGGTGTTGGATGGATGCTTTGGAACTGGCTTTGAAATGTTCCGGTCTGCTTAAACGTACGATGATTAGAGAAGGTAAAGAGCATGACTTGAACTCTTCAGCAGAGAGCACACATGTTTCTCTCTATGGCTTATTGCGTGCTAACAACTTACACAGTGCAGAAAGCTTTCCGTAAGTAATCAAGCCCTTAATTTTATTCTTATAAGAAAGTTACTAAAACTGGTGTAAAATTCTTAAATTGTTTAGGCAGATCTTTGAATTTGAAATGATAATATCAAAGTGGAAACCTTCTTAAGATTGGAATTCCTTTTGCCTCCTAATGCCCCTTAAAGAGCTGTAATTGTGTATTTTTTTTAAAACTTAACATTTAAACCGTGCAGATGTGGGTTCTTTACTTGATGCTCTTCAAGTAGCTCTGTTTATTCTCACTTACGAGTACCGTGTCTCCTTATGGTGCCTTGTGGTAGAACCATCTTCTAGCAGTATTAGCTAGGGAACTCTTGTGCCTCCCCCTCACCCCCCCAATGTCACACCGCGCCAAAGGCAAGGCTATACAGAGGGCGGAACACCCTCACCACCTCAGTTCCTTCCAACCACATGCCACAAACATATGTGAACCTCTCCGGTCTCTTCAGAGCTGGGTTTTTTTCTTCTTAGATAGTTACTGTTAGCTGTTGATTTAGTCGGTGATTCTTTTTCAGTTCTGTGATATGGCGGAAGTGAAGAAGCTGGGTTTTAAGAGGTGCGTTTCCTGCCCAGCTATCTTCCGGGTACACAACGACCACGTGCACTGCCTCAAGTGCTTGGCAGAAAGACATTCGCCTTTTGATTGTTTGATTTGTAGGACCTTTACTCCCAGAGCCCACAAGGACTGGGAGACTCACCTGCAGCGCCTACTATGGAAAGAAGCTCTCAAGGCCAGACCCTCTGGTTCTGAGCAATCCTCCAATCCAAGGTTGCAAAGGCCAGTCTCTGCCTCTGTTGTTCCCCCCAACAAAGGACCGAAGGGTTCCAAGAGGCTGCATCCCGAGTTGGGACCAGACCCAATCCCTGTGGCTTCCTCAGTTAAGATTATGAGGTGACACATGGCCAAACTGAGGGCCATGTGATCGGATACCACTGCCCAGTTCCAGAAGAGAGGCCAAGACAGTTGATCCACCCTCATTGGTGCCATACTTTGTGCCTCACAGCTTTCTGATCCTGAAGGAACTCATGTGGTGGTACGGCTAGGATCAGCTTCAAAGTCCACTTACAGATGTAGGAAGATGGAGTCCATTGGTGTGCCAGAACCAGGGTAGCTAGTGCCTTTGGTGCTGTCAGTAATGACACTGAAGAGAGAGGGGCATAAGGACAAAGTGGCCACGGTGAGCAGTTCTGGTTCCTGGCACAGGCATCAGAGCTGTCAGATCCATCTGATTCAGACCAGGGCACTACGGCTCCGAAACGCAGACTTGTTCAGCCTTTTGCGTCAGTAGCAAGGGAGATGGACTTACATATAACACTGGATTTGATATTGTCTCCATCTTCAAATCTGTAGTTTGGTTCCCATTTTGGTTCCAGCTACATCCTCAGTTCCAGAGAGTTCAATCATCATGGCAGTCTAGGTTCACCTTTTGATGTCGCTGCACATGTCTGATCCAAGAGTGAAATGCAAGAGGTCTAAGAGGAGGCATGTTTCCCCAACTCAAAGATCATCATCTTTGCCCCTGTCAGGAAGAGGAGGCTAGAGGGCATCAAGGTCCCTTTCACAGATTCTCTTATGCTCCCTCCTTCTAAGATCCCTACAGGATCTCCCCCAAAAGCTGGCTCCTTATATCTTCTGCCAGATCTGTAGTTGTCCCTGGTTCACTCTATTCCAAATCTAGAGTTTTATCAAGAAGAAGATAGAGGAAGAATGCAGAGACTGGCAGAGTTTTTACAAAATGTGTCTCTCTGTGGTGGGAGTTCATCTGAGGAATCAGGGTATTTTTGTTAACCCCTGTTTAGATGACTGGCTACTGAAGGCTTCTGTGAATGAAGATCTGTTAAACGGTCTTCATGACCAAGCTCTTTTCAGATTTAGGGCTCTTTCTTCACCCAAAGTCGATCTTCTGCCCTTCACAAAGGACCCCTTTTATAGGCGCTATACTAGACTCCATAGAGCGGAGAGCTTTTCTCCCAGAGTATAGATTTATCAAAACAAGCCAGTATTTGTTAAAGATCCAGAGAGTAAAGTTTTTCAGGGGTCTTATGGTAGCCACTACTATGTGACGCTGTTTGCCTGTTTGAGAATGAGATCTATGCAGCAGTAGATGCCTTGGTCTACAGACCAAGTTGAAACAGTTTTCAGTTGTTGATATCCATGCTTTAGAGGATGATAGTGTCCCTAGACTGGTGGTCAGTCAGAACAAATGTGCTCAGGGGTGTATGGGTCCAACCTGGATAGTGACTTCAGATGCATCAACCAAGGGCTGGGGAATCTTCGTTTCTGAGTGTTAACTTTATTGGAGCTACTTAAGTAGTGAAAAAGCTTATATTGACAACCAAGAATACATCCATTATCAATCAGTGTGTTAATTCCTTCCTGGAGTTAGTCTAAAAATATTGCCTTTTGAGATCTCTTTGGTATCTGATCTTGCTTGCTTGCTTCCTTTTCTATGTGCCATGTTTTTAAAATGTATTTTAGTCTCTTTTTTAATCTTGTAAGACATGCATAAATTCCATCCTCAAAAGTGTATCCTGTAGAATGTAGCACACAGGTACTCTTCATTTGTAAATAAGTAATGCTTGTCTTTTGACAACAATTTCTATTTTTAAAACATTTGTTTCCAGTTTAGAGCATTACAGTTTTAATATTATCTGCTGATCCAAAGTAAACACATTGAAGACTCATTTAAGCACATTTCTAACATCTCCCTCTTAGTGCCTTTTGGCTCCTGCTCAGTGTGATGTCCCAGCTTGCACTCTACTAGTGACATCACACCCAGAATAGAAAGATATTGGTAACCAAATCCTGTCTCAAGTTTGAGTTTGGTTTCCAAATAATCTTCAGTGGTGGGTTTATCAGAATGGATGCTGGGGTGCTATGACACACTGAGAGGAAGCAGTGATAACAGAAGGGTATTTGTCTTCACCTGAATAAAAAGGTATGTTGGAAATGTACTCAAACTCCCCTTTTCTACAAGTCCACATGGTACATGCTAATCCCCATTTTGGGTACAACTCCTAACTGCAGATACAGGAGAAAAATCTCAGCATTATGACTTCTTCCCCTACGTGATGGTTGCATTCATATTTACAGCAAAGAGAGTTCCTCTGCTACGTGAACGAGCTTTTGCATACTTGATACTTTTGTTCAGAGAATCTTCACCTGATGCTTTTATTTTCTGACAGGATTTGTTTACTATCATGTGCATGTATCAGTTTTTTTGCCCTTGGGCATTTCCAGACTTTCCAGTGTTTGAATTTATTTAAGTTTAACCCTGTATTTCTTGGCTTTCTATTGCTTGTTTTTTTGTTTAACTACAATATTCTTGTAAGGTTTTTAACCCTTACGTTAATGATGTACTTTCAACCCTACTGTGGCTTAGTGAAGATTTTTGTCTGGGCATTTTCTCAAGGTTTTAAAACTTTGAAATATTTAACATGCATAGGGACCCTAGACTAAATGAACTGAGAGCCCTATAGGGCACTGGGAACCAAGGAACTCTGTGGAGTTTAAGACTTGCAAGTGACCCTGGATTGTCGTCATCTTCATACACCCCAGTCTTCCTCACTCCACAAGTGGCACATGGTAATGGTGTTTATGGAAATCATGGATTCTTCAAGTGCTTGCTCATGTCGATTCCATTTTAGGTGTGCGTGTGCCCACCTGCGCGGCCGTCAGAGATTTTTGCCTTAGCAGTATCCACAGGGTCGGCTGTGGCGCCCTCTTGAGTGCCGCACCCATGCATTGGTATATTAGGCACCGCCACCCCTATGCCCTCTCAGTTACTTCTTACCGCCCGTGGTGATTAGTTGGAGCTCCTTTCCTTGCATGGCAAGGGCTAGCATTTTCGTTCCTTCTGACTTCAAGCCTTAGGGCTTTGTAAATAGTTTGTTTATAGTAGTTAGTGTTAAGTAGTTGTTAAGTGTAGTTCGAAGTTAGAGTTCCAGTGGGGACTTTGCCCCAGGCGGGGCATGCCCCAGTCTCTGGGGTTTAAGCCCTGCGCAGATTGTAACAGGCCTGTGCCTGTAAGTGATCCCCATAGCAGCTGCCTCAAGTACTTGGGAGAATCACATGTGAAGGACAAGTGTCGTATTTGTAAAAATTTTTGACACAGGACTCTAAAGGAGTGAGATATTCGTTTGCGGGCTCTCCTTATGGAGGCTGGTCTTCGTCTGGCTTCTGAGCCATCCCGCCAAGACTCGCCGAGTACCTTGGCCTCAGTGTGCAGCGCACCCCCGGCACCGGACTCCACCCGGAACTGCTCCCTGCCGGTGCCCAAAAAGAAAACAAGGAAGCACTGCTCCCCAGCGCCAGGCAAGAAGGGTCATGGGTCATCGGGCAAAGGACCCAGTTCAGGCTACCCGGCCACTCCAGAGCCATCTGTATGTGCCTCCCCAGTTGGGGCCCTTAGCCCCTTGAAGGGTACACCATGGACTCCCAGGAGCTGTAAGGGACCTAAACTCCTGACGGCATCAACGCCTTCCCAGAAGTTCCCCCAGTGCCAAGAGAGTAGAGGCCTCTGCCTGCGCTGCCGGCACCGCACGTGCTGCAGGAAACAGCAAAGGCTCCCTTCAAGGGCAAGCCAGCTGCTAAGACCCCTCAGGGGCAGTGGAGTGCCACACGATTCCTCTGAGATACGGCAGGTCTCCCCACCTCCCCGCCTCAGATCTCCCGACTTGCAGTCCAGATCCTCTGGGGCTCACCCTCAGGCACCGTGATCACGATCCCCGCTGTCTCGACGCGGATAACCTAGGGGAAGATGCTGGTCTCCGTACTGCCAGCACCGGTCATCCTCTTGGCGCAGATCTCGGTCATCTGTCCCGTGGGAGCGCTCCCCGTCTTGACCATGGTCCCCCCCCAGCACTGGTCCCCTCGATACCAGCACTGATCCTCTTACTCCGGGCAATGGTCTCCGGTAGTGACAGTCAATGGGCAGACGCAGGTGTCGATGGCCCCACCGTAGTCACTGGAAGGGGATTCTTCTGGTACGGAAGGGCAGGTCAGCCCCTCGTCCAGACTCCACCGGTGCAATTGGGCACCCAAGGCTGTGTGGACATGGATAGCGCCACCTTGGCCACACGGCCAGTGGCCAGCACAGTGGCCTTATTGGAGCGCGTGGGGCATGCCGGTCATGACAATGACCCCTTCGCACTGCTCATCTGCCACTGCCTCAGAGCAACAGTTGGCCATACCGATGGCACTGGGCTCGGTGCATGGGTCACGCTCAGAGGTCGGGGTAGAGGACACTGCACCCACCCCTAAACCTTTCTGCCCCCATGGGGGATGATGCCCCAGGGCCTCCTCAGTCTTCATTTTCATCCCAGGACGAGGTGGTCGCGAGATCCTTGAGGTCCAGACCACTGGACAACTTTAAAGAACACCAGGCTCTGCTTCGACAGGTGGCCGAGAACTCAGGTCTAGAGGTGGAGGAGATGGCTGGGCAGGCAGACACCTTGTTTAACATCCTCTCAGCCTCTACCCCTGCCCATGTTGCACTACCAGTGCATGACGGAGTCCTCAAAATTTCCAAGCCCTCTGGCAAACCCCATCATCCAGTCCTCCCACCTCCAAAAGGGCCAAAAAGAAGTACTTTGTCCCAGCCTTTGAGTACCTTTATATCCACCCACCTCCGCAACTCCCAAAAATAGAGGCCAAGAGACTGGACCTTTTGGGGAGGAAAATTTATTCGACTGCCAGCCTGGAATTCCGGGTGGCGAACCATCAGGCCCTGTTGAGCAGATATAGTTGTAACTGATGGGACTCCCTCCATAAATTCAAGGAATCCCTTCCGTGGGGTTTGGCCCAAGAATTGGGCACCCTGGTAGAGGAGGGCACCGCGGTGGTTAGGTGCTCCTTCCAAATGGCGTGGAACGCGATGGACTCGGCAGCTAGGGTGGTTGCAGTGGTTATGAGGCACAGCTCCTGGCTTCAGACCTCCGGCCTCTCCCAAGAGATGCAGACCTCCAATTGGATGGGAACGATTTCTTTTCAGAACAGATGGATGCAAGGCTGCATGGGATAAAGAACACTCGGGCCAGCCTTCACTTGCTGGGCATGCATACGCAGTAGTCTGCACAGAAGCAGTTCTAGCTACCCCTGCCACCAAGGCCTTAGCAGCCTTGTCAGGGGTCTGCAAGGAGAAGGGATAGGAACATAAGTTTCAGTCGCCACCACGCTTCCTCCTTCCACTCACCTGTGCGGTCCGGCTTGGCAAAGCATCCCGGGGGCCAGAAGCAGGATGTTAGAATTCTGCCATCTACTCCAGGACATGTGTGCATGAGGATTCTGCTCCCTTACCTTCCTTTTGTGGGAGGACTGTGTTGTTGCTCATCTCCCCAGTACAGGATGCTGAACATTATGCCATTATATGCAGGGGAGTGGGTGAAGACCTGCAACTGGAGAAATACAGTGCAGTTGCCTCTGAGGGGACCCCTTGAGACTAGGGTGAAACTGGGGGGGGGGGAGGAGGCCTGTTGCGTCAATCCTTGGTTCATGGCCCAATCCGGGGTGGGTGGGTGGGTGTGTGTGTGTGTGGATTATCAAATAAGCCCGTGAGAACTCTTGGAACAAGTACTGTCCTCACTCTACTGGCTCCTTTCAACCAATATATATGATCTGCCTCCAGCTGGACACTCAGCTATTACCCAGAGAAACATTAATGAGATGGTATTTCATAGAATTTTGCAAAAATCTTCCCTTGGCCTTTCTTTTAAAGTTATGCAGTAGCTACTGCAACACTTGACACTTTTGAAATGCAGTTATATCAGCTATGTAAGCTAACAGGACCATAGATCTACCTGTATATGTATGTATGTATCATACAAATATAAACAGCTGTTAAAACCCACTAAAAGTAGCTAGGTCACTGTTAGGCAATCAATCATACATATTGTTTATACACAAAATAGTGAGGGTTGTAAGGTAAAACCTGTATGAGGACGAAATTGTTGTAGGGTTGGTAATGAGCTTCATAGTTCAAAACAAAAGCAAACTAAACAGATTGCTATAAAAGTTTTAAGGAAGGCTGTTCCTTGTGATCCTTTCTTATTGCAGTGTTATCAATTTGACATGGCTATCAGGTATTGGTATTGACACTAATGTCCTGCATTAGGCAAGTTCCTGGTTTGAGGATGTTATTCATAGTGGTGGACAATTTGAAGGAGAGGGACAATCACAACATTTTAGATTTATTTTTTGTTTATTTGTTGTAGATTAAATGATAGTGAAATTGAAAGGCATCACTTTAAAGATCAAGATGTGTACTCAGACAAATCTGATAAGGAAAATGATCATGATCATGATGAGTCTGATAATGATGGCCTGGGGAAAAGTGAAGAAAGTGACACTGACACATCAGAGCGACAGGATGACTCTTACGTTGATCCAGAACCTGTTGATCTTATCAGGGAAACTACCTATATGGAACAGATTCATGAAGAACTTGGAGAGGTAAATAATGTACTCTACTCTTAGTAGTATTTACCTTATTTCCAGATAGCAAATTGACTTAAGAGTTTTAGAAGTCAAATTGAATGTCATTGGAAAGTTGCCTTGCAGTGTTGGATTTAGTAGTTTAAGGAGACTTGTGAAAGTGTGACTGCTCCCCCTCATGCCCCTCTATTTAACAGATTCCTGTTCACCACTAGTCATGTGGCCGAGCAAGGGACTTTGGAATACTCCCCAAACTTAAGGGACTGATTTTACACAGAAATTGCCTCCTGCAGCAGAAGTGGAGTCCAGCTGCTTGTCCTTTCATTATTAGTGATTGGTTTACATTAGCTTGGTTTCAAGGCTGTCTCCTCAAGGAAAAGGGCAAGAAACTTAGTTATTAAATGAAGTAAAGAGGTTTCTTTACATTCTAGTTTCCCCCTTAATCAGAGAGGCCAGTAGCCACAAGATTTGCAGGGCTCAGAGGTTGCTTTTGTTGCCTTCTGTCATTTAACAAATTTAAATTGATCTGACTCTGACATCGCTTCTGCATGGCAAAGCTCCACCTGCCTTTGAGGTCCTGAGCATTTGTGTGATTAAAAAGTAGCAGTCACCATAAAAAAATCACCAGTGCTATTTGAAATAGTAACACTCTGAATCTGACTTGTTTGAGCCTCCCTCTTGTGGCTTTTCACTGCTAGAGACTTTTTTTTTTTTAATAGCAGCAGCAGCAGGGAATGAATAAGATGTCAGATGATGATAATTTCTAGCCTACGTTAATGCTGCTGTTACCGATTTCTGCTCCAAAGATATTTGAACTTTTTTTAGACAAAACCCACTACTAGTTTTTTTTGTTTGTTTGTTTTTAAATTGGAAATAAGGTAGCTTCTTCTAAAATCCTGGTTTCATTTCCTGAAACTCTTTGGAAAGGAGAAATATCTCCCTTTTCTTCTCCTAGTCTAGCAGAGTGTCACCTGGAGATGTGTAGATGGGAGAGAGAGCGTCCTCTTGCTGCTGCTAGAGGGAGGGAGGCATATGGAAGAGTGCTGGACATATCAAAGGGTGGAGGTGGAGGTGAAATGGCAGATTCTTCATCAGCATTCAAAATGAGAAATTGATTAATGTAACCAATGGCCCCTGGCTGGTGCATTCCCTGCATGTGAGAGAAAAGGGAAACACATAGTTGATGGCTGGGAAAGGAACAGGCTTCTGACCATGGTCCCATCTAGAGGGCTCTCTTGATATAAAATGTCATATAATTATTGGGGCAAACCCAATTCCTAAAAAATAAATACTAGATAGCATATCTGATATGCTGTGTTAATCAGGTAGCATATATTAAACTTTTCAGAATGCCTCTAACGGGGCTAGTTCCCATACTCCTGCAGGTAGTTGGTTAGCCACCATGTATCCTAAACCTAACTTATTGTTTGTCCTAAATGTGTGTAGTTTTTTTTCACAGGATATGTTGAACTGTTACTGTGTTTCTAGTTTTTCATCAACATTTTTTCCTGGTGGAAGGCAGGGGAGGCTTGTCAAACAGAAACAGTGTCAGAGGAGAACAAAAGCCTGATCTGGATGCTGTTGAAACAAGTCCGTCCAGGAATGGACCTCTCCAAGGTTGTACTGCCTACGTTTATCTTGGAACCTCGTTCTTTCTTGGACAAACTGTCTGATTACTACTATCATGCAGACTTCTTGTCTGAGTGAGTTAATTCTTTTCACTTTAAAAATAAATTTTATTAAATAGTGAAATGGCTTTGCAAGGTTTTCTATCCATCCCGGTTAAACTGAAGCAGAGAATGCTGAATGTCTGAATGCTCATCTAACAGTGTATTAAACACCATGTTGTGGGATTTCCTTGGCTTATTCCTAAAGCTTATAAAGTATATCTCAAAGGCACAGTATCCTGGTCAGAAATTGATGATAACTCTGACAGACAAATGTGCTTGTTAGTGCTACTAGAAACAGAGGATAGGAACCTTTGGAAACATCTGTAAGAAGTTAAGAGCTAGTTAGTGAAGGATAGGAAACAGAGGATAGGAACCTTTGGAAACATGCTATAAGAAGTTAAGAGTTAGTTAGTGAAGGCAAAGGAAATTAAATTTCCTAACTATCTACAAAACAATACCATTTAAGTAGTCCAATTAAAGTGTTTTGTTAGCTATATGAGGGCCTAGATCAGTGGTTCTCAACCTATTTACCATTGCGGGCCGCATCCAATACTACCTGTATGGCCCTGAGGATGTCACATGGGCCGCAGCTCTGTGCTGATTGGGCCACAAGCGGCCCGTGGACCGCAGGTTGAGAACCACTGGCCTAGATGAATTCACTTGATTTATCTGAGAACCAAAAGGAATAAGAAGGACCTAAAATGGAATGCTTCACTTCAACTTGGAGTTCTGTGAATTTCTAAAGCAGTCTTCCCAGATTGGAGAACTGAATGGATAAGATTTTGCGGTGCATGGGCCTAAGTACTATATCTTTGCAATGGCCGTGCTGCCCAGAATTAGACATAATTGGCTTTGCAAAAGAAATAGTTCCCCCATGACCTTTGGCTTTTAAGTGGAGGAAACACACAATGCTCTCAAGAGCCAACAGTTCTCCAGTCTGTTCTCAAGACTAGATTTTCTTGTTACTTTATTGTTTTGACAAATATTTAATAATAAATACAAAAAGGGCTCTACTTCACCCTAGAAATGTTTTCACCCCTCAGCTCACAGTTCTAAAATGGGGATTACATCACATGGATCAATATCTGGATCAACATCTGTATACAGTATTAAACTATATTAGAAAGGAACAAAAGTCCATAAAGGAAAACAAAATATTTAGTTGAATTTCAAGAATCAAACCAAGCTTTTTGATCATAAAATGTGCATTTTCTCGTATTCAAGAAGCTTATTGGGACTCAGTATTGATAACTTTCTCCTTGGACCTCACTTGTCTGACTAGCAGCAGTATCTCCCCATCTACAGCAGGAAACGTTTCCAGTGAGATATTTGGGAAGCAGTCTCTTGGTAATACTGTCAAATCTTTAAGAAGCATGACTCTTTTTTTTTTTAATTTGGCAGCTTCTTGGTCAACTGTATGCCAAAAGACATTCTTGACCCTTATTCTGAGTACTTTCTAACTATGTCCATTCAGTTACCAGTGGATCTGATAAAAAATTATTTGATACATATATACTTAAAATATAGGAGTGACTTTTAATTTCCCATGTGTACTAATTCAAAAACGTGTTACAAGATCTATTTTCTGGTCAATAGATAATATATTATAATACATATCAATGTAAATTATAATATGCTGATAGCAGATAATAATGATAGAAGATCTATGATGTGTCTATTTCAATTTTATCTTTAATCCAGTAACTCTGTCGTGTGTTATAGGGCTGCTCTTGAAGAGAATGCTTACAATCGTATGAAGAAAGTAGTGAAATGGTATTTGTCAGGATTCTACAAAAAGCCAAAGGTAACCTTTTGCATCTTCCTCTGCTATTAAAGGATGATCTTAATGTTTAGTTATTTTAAAAGTAATATAGACAAATATGAAGCTGTCTCTTATATTTGGACTCAAACCATGGTTGAAATGGACTGCACTTAATGCACATTTTTGTCAATGAATGTTGCAATATGCATTTTCAGCTAAATTGGGCAGTTCCTATATTCTTGATAGTCATGCTCTCAGTGAGGAACATCAATCTCAGTAGGAAATTACGACCAGGATTAGATAGCAACATTTTTAGTATTTTATACTTGGCCCCCTACTTGCTTCTTAACACTTCTTCTTTCTAGCAGTGCTGATGGGAGGGGTATTGAATGACACACAGCTTGCCTCTGCTTAATTTCAGACAGATGGAGATGAGTGATTAAACCAGTTTTCCCACAATAGCCCAACTGCTCTATCCCCCATCATAAAATGTACACAGAATGAGACAGGATCTCTGAAGTACTAATGAGTACCTGTTTCTATTCTTTGTCCCCCAGAATTCATGGGGTTATCTTCAAAGTTGGACTCTCTCATAGAGTATATTCTAGTGTCCTCTGCTCTTTTTTCCTTTACATTTGATAGTGGTAATTCCATTTTCTGTAAACTGTTTTGCATTTTCTGTGATTGTATTGTCTGATTGAAATCTCCAATGTTTCTGTTCAGGGACTAAAGAAACCATACAATCCTATACTTGGTGAGACTTTCCGCTGCATGTGGATTCATCCCAGGACAAACAGCAAGACTTTCTATATTGCTGAACAGGTATTGGCAAAATAGGTTTTGCTATTAATCTGACTTTTTAATATATGCCATCAGTTAGTTAGTTTTTTGCTTTGCTTTGTAGAACAGATAAAATAACGATATTCTGTGTAGTCATAGTGACCCCAATTTGGCAAGGTACTTAACATTTTTGCGTAATATATGAGTAGTCCCAGGGCTCCTTAATACTGGCTCAGTATCTTGCTGAATCAGTATTTAAGAAATGATTTGATGTCTTTGTTTGAATGCCTATTTGCTTAGGGGAATGGCTGCTACATGAATTACTAAGTGTCTGAACACTACATCAAGAGCAGATGCTGATTTTGGGAGTGGAGGGACAGAGTTTCACTCATTGTTCAAATAGTGTTTCTTAGGTCATCTTCTCAGGGAACTCAGTGTTAGTCTCCTATAGGGGCTCTGGGGCAGTATCATGGAGGAAAAAAAGGGTTATTCACCAGCAATACGTTTTGTTTGTGAATGTATTACTGGCATGTTCATCCTCTGTCTCAGAGCCCAGCCACAAATAGGATTTCTAAAGGCACAGAGGGAAACTAAGGGATGGGTAGAAGAACTGGCATATTTGTACCCCTGGAATGTTGGGATTGAGGAATTGTGCACATATTCCTAACTGCTACTCAAAAATAGTTTCTTGGCCATGTGGCTAGGCACCCGTCTCTTACAGTGGGGCTGTAGCGAGACAGTACTATTAAGTAACCTCTAATCTACTAGCTTCTCTTTCTGAAAAATAAAATGGCAGCTAGCTCTGGAACTTGGCAGAGGAGGCAGTAAAACAACTGCAGTCAGTAGGCCAGGAAAATCCAAGCATATGGTACTTCTGGTCCAAGCTGAGGTGGAAAATCTGGGAACTAGGACACTCAGACCAGGCAAATGCGTGATTCCAGCTAGTGAGACAATTCATGTGTTCTAGGCTTTGAGATTAATTATTAATGGGTAGTGGTGCTCGCAAGGGACAAACAGTGCTAAGTACATGAAAAGTATTCAAGAAGTTCTGCTGACAAACTTGGTCTTTAATGGTACTCTGGATTTTTACTAGACATAGGTGGTTATACAAGAGATTTCTTTGTAATAGTCTAGCATTTGAAGTTTTCTAGTTACACCTTGATTTCAGTAAGGATGTTGACTTTGTTTGATCGGAGTATATTTTTAAATATGTCCTGACTTTTATCTATGAACATTTCCTATAGATGCCTTTCTTTGAATTTTAAATCCACGTGCACTTTTGATATGTACTCTCTGTAGCTCACTTATTAGAACAAGAATTATTGCAACACTTCAACTGCTTGGGTTCAATTTTGTTGCATTCAACAGGTGTCTCATCACCCCCCAGTATCTGCCTTCTATGTTAGCAACCGAAAGGATGGGTTTTGCCTTAGTGGTAGTATCCTGGCCAAATCCAAGTTCTATGGTAAGTTCTTTATGCTTTTTTATATACAATGGAGCCCCAATTATCCAATCTAATAGGGATCAGGGCCAGATCAGATAACCAAAAATCCAGATAAACCAGAGAATGGGTGGCTAGGGCTCCCACTGCCAGCCCTGGGTGGCTGGTGGTTCGGTAAATATGGAGTGATGGATAATGGAGGCTCCGTTAAACTAGGTTCTACTGTATTATTGCACAAGGAATCTATAACAAGTTGGAAATGCAATTAGATGTTTTTATTAAATAAATGCAAGGAGTGCCTAAAATTCTAAGGATTATTTAAACAGAGAAACTTTGCTTTAAAAACTTTAAGCATCATTTACAAAACATTAAGAATCAAGTCAGTTATTGACATCTCCTTCCTCCAAATAGAAGTGCTCTGTTCATGGCTTTGGTCTAGATGCTATATTTTGTAAAGGGGATACTCTACAGCATATGGGCTTCACTGTAAGGACAGAATGCAACAGAGGATGACCCAGTCTCTTTAATCTATTGCTCACTTACTGGGAAATGCTGCCTATTGTCCATTGGCTTTGAAAAATACATAGTGTAATTTGGTTTCCTTGTCTTTCAGGGAATTCATTATCTGCCATATTGGATGGAGACGGTCGACTAATGTTCCTGAATAGGGGAGAAGATTATGTAATGACCATGCCATATGCACATTGTAAAGGTAGTTTTGTTTTTTTTTCCTTATTCAAAAGGTGGAAATGTTACAAAATTAGATGTTATCATAAGCTGTAGATAGGCTTGAGTTAGAGAGAATCTACTCTAAAGTGAAGTTGTCTGAACACGCAAAACATTATTATATCCAGGTTCTTCCAGACCTGAAGAAGAGCTCTCTCTGGCTCGAAAGTTTGTCTCTCTCACCGGCAGAAGTTGGTCCAATAAAAGATATATTACCTCACCCACCTTGTCTCTCATGCATAACATTGATGGTTCTCTAATTCTATGCTTCCACATCTGTTAATAGAGCAAGTACACTTGTGTGGAGGGACTCCTAGTTAATGCTGTGTTTTTGTTGTGGTAAATTTTGAAGAAAATCATGTGGCTTTAATGACAAAAATATATAAAGCCACCTGGAATTGCAGTAAAAGTAATTAATGAAGTCAAGGGCTTGGGCCTATTTTTTTTTTTTTTTTTTAAGGAACAAACCAATCAAGCGACACCATTGCTACCTCCTGGAGATCTTAATATTTTAAACCAGTTTTTTAAAAGTGGTACCTAATTACTATTCTGCTTTTTACCCTCTTCTAGATTTTCTTTCTGAACTTGGTCTCATCAGGGAACATAAGAAATTATACTTCTTGCTGTGGCTTAAGTGTTTGTGCGTTTTGTTCAAATACTTACCAACCATATGTACAAAAATGTGCTCACACACCATCTTAATTCAGCCAGATTTCACTTCATTCTTTCACTGTTAAACCAGCCCTTGAGCTTGTGATCACAAGATACAATGCAGTGCAACACTGCGGGCGAGGGGAGGAAGGGGATGCTGTTCAGCTTAAGTATTGAACTAGTGGTTTAGCTGCTTAGCTGGAACTAAAAGATCCCTTTGAGACTCCCCAAAATAGTTGAGGATGAACCATTTGTCATGGCTAACATTGTCAATGAATTTAAAAATGTCGGTGTTTCATTGGTGAATATCAAAAGTCTAATAGCCAAGGGTGTATATATGATTTGAGTACAGTGGGCTAGTGTCCATTTGCCTGTAATCATTTCACTCTCTGGGAAGTGAGTGCTTTTTATTAAGCTATTTGGGCAGGCGCTGGGTGTTGTGGTGATGAGAAACAGTACAAAACACTTGCATTCAAATGGGACTAATTTTAACACAATTTGCTGCTTATTCCAATACATGTATTCTCTGGCAGAGACTGGCCAAGTGTCTGCCATAAATGCTGCCACTTGCGTGTAAGACGTTGCATTGCAGCAGAATAGTGTAAACAGAATTAGCTCCAGTTAGCTGGATTTTGGAAAGCTTAGCTATGCTCTTCTCACTTCTTTCCAGGAGATTTTTTAAAACTTATTTCATGCCAGAAAGGGAAGAACTTTTGTGTGGTTCTGGGACAAACGTATATTAAAATATATTATGTAATGTATCCACAGAGTAAGGGGCTGCACATACTCATGATTAGGAGAGATCCCCTGAAGAGAAGATAAACTGGCTCTCTTGTCTATTCCTTTTTCCACCTGGCACCAATAAACATTCATTCTAAGAGGTTTTTTTGGGGGTGGGGGGTTTATAAGAATTTAGCGCTTGTGTATATCTTGCTCAGTTATCAGTAGAAAGCAAATGGGTGTTGTAGGGGAACTCTGTTTGCATGTTATGTAAAACAAGTTCTGTTTTCCTGCAGGAATTCTTTATGGCACAATGACTTTAGAGCTTGGGGGAACTGTCAACATTGCATGTGAGAAAACTGGATACAGTGCAACAATTGAATTCAAACTAAAGGTAAGAGGGCTCTGTATGTGGACACAAGGAGAATTAAGATAATAGAAAAATGGATGTAGCTCTTACCAGGTCCCTAATCAGATTTTCAGAGTTGGTATTGATTTAACTCTTTTCTTGGAAAATGTATAGTTTCTTTATGCTAATTGTTGTATATCAAGCTATGTTAGTCAAGATAATCACAACACAAGTGATTACAGTACTAAAAGGAACAGCATCATTAATATCTACATTGATCATGAGGTAGAATACTCTTCTGGGTCCAAAGGTCAGGACCTGGGCCCTTTGCTGGGACTTGGGCTCTGACCTTAGCAGTGCACCATCGCACTGATACAGTGCTGTTGGATGAGTCTAATGGATGACACTTTGGTTTAAATATCTCAAAATCCTTTCTCTCTGCCCAAGTAAAATTCAAGAGACATCCGACCCTTTAGATCAGTCAGGGATCATGCCAATGTTTTGACCAATAGTCCTTATGTTAATAAAACTGTTTCAGCATAGATTTTTAGAAATGACGGGATGACTGAACAAGATGTCATGGGCTGAGCCTTAACTCTTGGATTAGATAGCCATGCGATAGGTTATTTTAAAGTAATTTTGGCTGTCACTCCAGAGATTTTGTAATTGCATGTTTTTGTCCTAATGTTTAACTTTACTCTAACATTATCTCTCACTAAAAAATTAACATTTTTCTTTTTGTTTTGTAGCCATTTTTGGGCAACAATGACAGTGTTAATCAAATATCAGGGAAAATTAAACTGGGCAAAGAAGTTCTGGCTACTTTGGAGGGCCACTGGGTGAGTAGTGAATGCGTCTATAAAATAAACTATTTCTGTTTTGCTAGTAATGACAAGTAAATAGTACTCATCCTTCAAATTTGTTGTAAATTCACCTAGATATAAAGCTACTTCATTTTGGCTGTAAACACTGGCACTTATAAAGAGGCAGCTCATGATAATAGATATCTTACTATATATACTCAGCTCTCAGGAATGACTCTGGAATTTAGATAATGCTGTTTTTAAATGACGCTCTTGTTTTCGTTACTTTATGTACTTCTGAAAGAGGCAGAGTTGGACGAAAAGGGTGGTAGTGCATTTGTGAGTGACATACAGTGTTCCTGAAGAAAAGAAATCGGTGGCATATATGGCATGTACACAAAGACATAATATATATCCATATATAATGTAATACAAACTAAGGGAACTAAAATGGGGGCGGGAGGGGAAAGGGAATTGAGGTAAGAGCCTGGCATGGAGTTACTGGGGATTCTGAAAGAAGAAACTGAGGCAGACACAACTGTTGTGCTGAGGCCTGCTGCAGGAGGGTGCTCAGGACAGGTCGTCCTATCACAGATAGCTAGTAGGGACTCCGGTAAGTAGTCAGCTTTCAAAAAATATACATATGGGCTGTCAAATGACTAAAAAAATAATCGCAATTAATGGCAAGATTAAAAAAAGTTGTGATTAATTGCAGTTTTAATTGCACTGTTAAACAGTAATGGAATACCAATTTTAATGTATTGTAAATATTTTGGATGTTTTTCTACATTTTCAAATATATTGATTTCAATTACAATGCATAATACAAAGTGTACAGTGCTCACTTTACATTACTATTTTGATTACAAATATTTGCATTGTAAAAAAAGATAAAAGAAATAATATTTTTAAATTTACCTCATACAAGTACTTTGTTTGATCTGTGGTCTTGTAGTGATCCTGAAACTCTGTAAGCGTACTCTGTCGCGACTGGCAGGATTCATTTGCTGTTGGTGGGTTATCTATAGCACAAGAACTGGAGGCGAAAGCATGTTTTAGCACGTACTGCAGGTGGTACTGCAGACTTGAAGTACTTTGATGGTATTGGAACTCACCTACAGATAACTGTCTTTTTATCCAGAGAACCATCCGGAAGTTTTTTAAAAATAAACTTCCTATTCAAAAGACCTGAACTTTTGCTGCTTTGCTCCATTAATTTTTGCTGATAGTTAATCACTCCAGATTATGAGAACACAGTAGAATTGTGCCAATTTCCACTAAATGATGAAGTACAGTATGTGAAGAAGGTCAAAACAGAGGTGTGTGATTAATTCTCATTAAAAAAAATGCATTAATTTGTTTTGTGTTAATCGCTTGCATTAACTGGGTTTGACAGCCATAAAAACAATAATTCTATATTTGTAATTTGCACTTTCATGATAAAGAGATTGCACTAGAGTACTTGTATGAGACTAATTGAAAAATACTATTTATTTTGTTTCATTTTTACAGTGCAAATATTTGTAATAAAAATAATCTAAAGTAAGCACTATACACTGTATTCATAAACAAACTAGGGAAATGCAACCTAGATGGAGCTACTATAATGTGGGTGCAAAACTAGTTGGAAAACCATTTCCAGAGAGTAATCATCTGTGGTTCACAGTCAAGCTGGGAAGGGCATAATGAATGGGGTCCCTCAGGGATCAGTTCTGGGTCTGGTTCTGTTCAATATCTTCATTAAGGCAAATATAGTACCCATATTTAAAAAAGGGAAGAAAGAGAACCTGGGGAATTACAGACCGGTCAGCCTCACTTCAGTCCCTGACAAAATCATGGAGCAGGTCCACAAGGAATCCATTTTGAAGCACTTGGAGGAGAGGAAGGTGATCAGGAACAGTCAACATGGATTCACCAAGGGCAAGTCATGCCTGACCAACCTGATTGCCTTCTGTGATGAGATAACTGGCTCTGTGGATATAGGGAAAGCAGTGGATGTGATATATCTTGACTTTAGCAGAGCTTTTGATATGGTCTCCCACAGTATTCTTACTAGCAAGTTAAAGAAGTATGGATTGGATGAATGGACTATAAGGTGGATAAAAAGCTGGCTAGATCATTGGGCTCAATGGGTAGTGATCAACGGCTCGATGTCTAGTTGGCAGCCGGTATCAAGCGGAGTGCCCCAGGGGCCGGTCCTGGGACCGGTTTTGTTCAACATCTTTATTAATGATCTGGATGATGGGATTAATTGCACCCTCAGCAACTTTGCAGATGACACTAAGCTGGAGGGAGAGGTATGCTGGAGGGTAGGGATAGGGTTCAGAGTGACCTAGACGAATTGGAGGATTGGGCCAAAAGAAATCTGAGGTTCAACAAGGACAAGTGCAGAGCCCTGCACTTAGGAAGGAAGAATCCCATGCACCACTACAGGCTGGGGACCGACTGGCTAAGCAGCAGTTCTGCAGAAAAGAACCTGGGGACTACAGTGGACTAGAAGCTGGATACAAGTCAGCAGTGTGCCCTTGTTGCCAAGAAGGCCAACAGCATATCTGTATTAGTAGGAGCATTGCCAGCAGATCGAGGGAAGTGATTATTCCCCTCTATTCGGCATTGGTGAGGCCACACCTGGAGTATTGCGTCCAGTTTGGTCCCCCACTACAGAAGGGATGTGGACAAATTGGAGAGAGTCCAGCAGAGGGCAACAAAAATGATTAGGGGGCTGGGGCACATGACTTACGAGGAGAGGCTGAGGGAACTGAGGTTATTTAGTCTGCAGAAGAGAAGAGTGAGGGGGGATTTGATAGTAGCCTTCAACTACCTGAAAGGGGGTTCCAAAGAGAATGGAACTAGGCTGTTCTCAGTGGTGGCAGATGACAGAACAAGAAGCAATGGTCTCAGTTGCAGTGGGGGAGGTCTAGATTGGATATTAGGAAACACTATTTCACTAGGAGGGTGGTGAAGCACTGGAATGGGTTACCTAGGGAGGTGGTGGAATCTCCATCCTTAGAGGTTTTTAAGGCCCGGCTTGACAAAGCCCTGGCTGGGATGGTTTAGTTGTTGGTCCTGCTTTGAGCAGGGGATTGTACTAGATGACCTCCTGAGGTCTCTTCCAACCCTAATATTCTACGATTCTATGATTGTGCTATGTAGTGCATCAAAACCTGACTAAAATTGCCTCACACATTTAATAATCTAAGTTAGTAGTAGTAGCAGAGGTAAGCAAATCTGTTTTTGAACTATGACTTTTGAGTATTACCAGCCAGGTGTGTCAAAAGGGAATAACAAATTCTTCAGTTGCAAAAAGTGCTGTATCCAGGGTCTCTGTTCCTCAGACTTGTTCTCGCTGGCTTTGTTTAAGGCTGCTACAATTTTTGGTAAGTAAAGTAATTAAAAATGTTAAACTTTACAGGACAGTGAAATTATTATTAGCGACAAAAAGACAGATGTTTCAGAGACCTTCTGGAATCCAACATCTGAGATCAGGCAGCGCAGATTAACAAGATACACAGTGAAATTTGACGAGCAAGATGACTTTGAGTCAGAGAAGTAAGTTCATGAACTATTAGCTCCTTTTCTTTTAGTTAATTACATAAAGGAGAGCATATATGCTGTTTGACAAATAAAATATGGAAGAGAGCATGGCCTGTTGGTTAAAGCATAGGATTTGGAGATGGTGATTTGGATTTTAATTCTGATTATCCTGAAAACTTATCTTTGTGAACTTGAGCAAGTCACTTACCTTCTCTGTGCTTCAGATTCCCAGTCTGTAAAACTGAGAGAAATAACACCTTTAAATGCAACCTTATTTACAGAAGTTCCAATGTAGGAAAACGTGAATAAAATAAAACTGGCAAACACAATAATGCAGTAAATAGTATCTTTATAAATTGATCATCAATCTCATTTTACCTCTGTCAAAGCAATATTTGTAGTTATTTCTGTCATCCTGATTTTGATTCTTTCACCCTTATTACATTAATTTGCTAGACTTTGGCAACAGGTGACTCGAGCTATAACCAACAAAGATCAGACAGAAGCTACTAATGAGAAATGTGTTCTGGAGGATGCTCAGAGAAAGGCTGCCAAAGAAAGGAAACTGAAGGGTGAAGAGTGGACCTGCAAACTGTTTGAACAGGATTCAATCACAGGGGAATGGCACTACAAATATGCAGAGTGAGTGGTGGAGTGTTTTGCTTACAGTTTAAACTATTCTACATATTTAAAGGTGTTGTTATGTAGAGAACTTGTTTTATAGTTTCAGGATTGAAAGAACATGAAAATGTGGATGAGTTCACACTTGTCCAACTGGTATTGAGTAGTCTTAAATCTCTATTCACCTAAAGCCATATCCACACTACAACATTAAACTTACTGTGTAAACTGGCATGGGGTTGGCTTTGGATGTGGTTAGTGTCTACGCAAGACATGGCTGATGTTCAGTTAAGTAACTGTACCTGATAGTAATAATTTGCTGCTAATAGAGGGACAGACTGGCTTATGTTTTTTTTCTTCTTAAACTAGTTCAGCATGCTTTTTTGACAAGTGGATGAGACCCCCTAACTCTTCCTGTGTAATCAGTTTGGCTGGTGTCATCTTCCTAGTTCTTTATGCGTATGACATCCTGGAATGCATTGCCCCACTTGCTGCTGGTTATGTTCTGTGGGCTTGTTCTCTGAACACTTGCCTTCTTAGGCAATGTAGAATATCCAGATTTTCCCAGAATGGGCTGATGCACAATTGTGCAGCCTGGTAAATGTGAACTTGAAAATGTAGCTGTAATAGCAGAAAAGCTGTTTGGACATAAACTGCATCATGTAACTTGTTATTGGTAAAGGTGACTAACACTGACCGGCTCCAAAAACACAGTTGCCGCGTGGATGGGTCCACACAGCTCTCTTCTCCTGACAAGTGTAACACGCACTGAGTAGCTCACTGTTAAAGGCTTATGGTGGTTCCATGCATCAGAAGGTGGAGGGGTAACTCTGCAAGTATACAAACAAATGTGAAACTTGAGTCCAGTCTTGGCATTGATCCACATCCTCAATTCCCACTGACTTACAAGGAGTTCAGCAAGAAGAGCAGTGGCAGAATTGAGCCTTTTATCAGTAACAGTTACCACAGGATCAGCATGCAAAGTCTTTTGTTCCTTTTTCAATTGAAGTATTAATTTATACTAAAAAGGGGAAAAAGTAAAATATCCAGGGATATTACAGCCATATAAGAATGTAGTAGTGCTGAAACCAATGTTATATCTAGCTTTGTGCTGACAGTTGGTTCCAGAGCTATATACCTTACGGTGAACTCTATTGTACATAACAAATTTTCACAACTGACAAAAATAGCCTTAAAATTTTCTATGCACCATATAAACTAGTGTTTTCCCTTGCTCTTTCAAAGAGACAAAGTAACAAGATTTTTCTTCCCCGGTTCCAGAATGTGGTATGTTTATGTAACATGTCAGGAAATCTTTACATAGCTCAGTCTTAGCATTTTTGTTATGCCAGTACCTATCAAAATTGAGTGATACTCTGGCTGGCATTCTCAATAGCCAGGGTAGGGATTGACCTGTGCATGGAGACTGAGTTATCATATCATCTTTGGGTGTATAATCCCTCCAAATCAGAGGTGAGGCACATCAGCAGGTAATATGAAGAGGCTTACATCACTTATGCCCGTTCTATACTTATCTTGTGGGGAGTTCTGAATCTTTTGGATGTCATACTAACACCTTTCACTCAAAATATTTGCTTGAAAGCTTTCCTCAACAGGAAAATGAAAATGCCTCTGATGTGTTATACAGTAACACTGTGTTCATTCTGTTTCTGTGTAGAACCAGACCATGGGATCCACTGAATGATATGATACAGTTTGAAAAAGATGGTGCCATCCAAACAAAAGTCAGGCATCGGACACCAATGGTACGTTCCGGCTTTGTAATTGTTCTCAGTAAACATGAGGTCAGACACTGGCAAATGTCAAGTTATAAATCTAGAATTCACAAAGCACTAGAGTGGTTCTTCACCCGTGTCCTACAAAGGTGTAGTCCAGTCAGCCCCTATAGCCTCTCTCTCTCCTGCTGTTCGCTATGTAGGAAAACTGACGTAATTGGATAGGTATTGAACGTTACATTACCTTAATTCCACTTACAAAAAACATCCACACTTATTTTAATTAATCTAATGTAAACCCTCCAAAACCTCTAGGATATCATTTTCAAATATTAACTCAAGTTTCTAACACACAGACATTATTATAATAGAACAACAGCTTTTTCATCAGAATGTTTGATTCTGTGCAGATAAGTATTACGTGTGTGAATTGCAGGTTAGTGTTCCAAAAATAAAACGAAAGCCAACCAGTCAGTCGAAGAAAGGAGAGTGTGGATTTTCTTCCCCAGAACCTGATAACCAGGACTCCTCTGGAAGTGAAGGTAGGATAAGCTGCATCTGTTAAGCAAATTTCATTGTTTTTCTGTTCAGTTAGACTGAGCACTGCTACAGTACAGTCATGCATTTACTTTCCTATTCTTTATTATCCCAAGATATTTGTGGTAGAAAATAACTATTGGAATATGATAAATTACAGTACTAGTGCATTACTACGTGACTTCATAGAAAGACAAAAAATGCATAGCACAAGAAAAGGAGGTGGCCCATGGTGTTACTAGTGAGAGATCTGAAACTTTCCTACGTTTATAAACATAGGGCTGTAATTTAAGTAGGCTTTACTACTATAGTTAGTACCTGTGGTACAAATACTGTGTTCGTTCACTTGTAAACAAAAGGATTAGTCTCTGCATTAAGAAAGCAGCTATTGAAATATATAGCTCAATAGGTTTATGTAAGAATGAAATGTGTAAATAATTGTTGGCACTGTTTATGATCTTAAAACTTCTGTACTCAGTTGAAAAAAGATTAAACACTTCAGTTGTGGGCTTCCTGGGATATAAGTGACTGGAACAAAGCTTTCAGCAGGACCTCAAATTGGAGAATTTCACCTAACTGTGTTTTCTAAGTAGTTTTATTGTAGGATTAAAGGAGTTTAGATTTGGATAAATTAGTCATTCTAACCTATTGCATCTGTCTGGCATATCTTCATAGCACAACTACTAAAGCATAATACAAGAATCAGAAAGAAGGGGGCAGACCTTGGTGAACTACAAAGTGCCATTGAATCTATAAAAGAAACACAAGAAGACATTAAGAGGTAGTATTCGATGATAATATTTTAAAATAGATTTTAGTGTATCAGGCTTGTTCTGTTTAAAATAAGCTAGGAATATAAACTGTTCTTATTTATTTTTCACTTCACTGGTTTAAATATAAATACATCAAAACAGAAACTTCTGCTAAAAATTGACATGTTTATTGTTCTTGTCATTAATTCTGCTTTGTATAATATACTGTGGAATAGTTCAAAGAAAATGGTAGCGATGCGGGACTCACCCCTGTGGCGCCGCCTGCTGGTCGTCTCCAGGAATTAGCATTTCCAGCCTCCGGAGCACCCTCTGCAGGCCGGTGTCCCGCTGCCGCTTGGCCCCCCGTGTCCCTCCCAGGACTCAGGTGCCCTGTTATCTGGGATGCTGCCCCCTGGCAGTACACCCCTCAGTCTCGGGGTATCCCCTCCCCACCCCTATCCCCACCTTGCCTCAGTCGTAGGCTACTGCCAGTCACCAACTAGCCCCCGCTCCCTGGGGCAGACTGCAGTATAAGCCACTCATCACAGGCAAGGGGGTTTTGGACCTGCTGCCTTTCTCTGCAACCCAGTACCTCTATGGGGCCTTGGACAAGGCCCTGCAGCCTTGGGAGTTTCCAGCCCCTCTGGCCTTTCCCCAGCCCTGCCTTACTCTAGGTACCCTGAGCTTCCCAGCAGCCAGGTCTCTCTCTCTCTCTGAAAGCAGAGACTCTACTCCCCAGTCCACTGCCCTCTTATAAGGGCCAGCTGCGGCTACTTCCCCAATCAGCCCAGGTTTTCCCCTACCACAGCCCTCTCCCAGGGCTGTTTTAAGCCCTTCAGGGCAGGAGCGGGGTTACTGCCCTGCTACACTGCTCTAACAAGCCTAATTACTTCATCTCAGATTCAGAAACTGGGTAAATACAGTGATTAATGCAGATCACCTTCACTGTATGTTTGTCAAATTACAAGTAGGTTTACTGGAAATAAATACCATGGGAATTCCATATGTAGCACAAATTTTGGGTCACTGGATTTTTTAGTATTTCCATTGTTTTCTGGGGTATTTTTTTTTAAAGTTTCTACCCCTTCCATACGTGAATCAATGCAGTGTTGTTTTTATGATACTGCAGAGGGATTTTGCCTAATTCTTCTTCTTAGCATATTAACTATGAAACCGAAAGATGACTGTTTAAATGTCAGTATGTTTACTAAAATAACCAGTAGTGAAATAGTTAAGAGAGCGCTCGGGAGCCCAACTGCATGCATCTTATTGCATGATTGGGTCCTAAATGTCCAAACAAATATTGAGATTTATTTACTTGTTGGACTTCAGTGTAAAGTTATTGCAGGAAGAGAAAGGCAAAAGCTCTCTGGGGACTTGAAGTTTACTCAGGGAGAGACCATATGGAGATAGCTGTTAATTTAAGTGGGAATGAAAGAGCTCAATGAGGGAGAGGCATTTAAAGAACGATAATAAAAAATAGACTGAAATAGTCATTTCTTTAAAGCTACTTATTAGCAGATAACTTACTACTACGGTTGCCAATTTTGGTTGGATGCATTCCTGGAGGTTTCATCACATGGCATAATCTTTAATTAAAGATTAATCTTTAATTCCTGGAGACTCCATGACAATCCTGGAGGGTTAGCAATCCTATTTACTACACAAGTCATCTAGAATTGTCATGTATGTTGAAGAAATGTACTTAAATTTCCACCGATTTTTGAATTTTTCTGCCAAATCAAGAAAACGACCTCGTTGTTCTATTGATCCTAGTTACAAGGCTTTTTTAATTTTTAATTTTAAACAATAAATTTTATCTCTATTCATAAATTTATAAACATCCCTTTATATAATGTGTTTCTTGGCTGCAAAAGAGAAACTCCACAGATTCGATGCTGCATTAAATACAGTTCAGCAATGGTACAAGAATGGTACAATTATAGAAATTGTAGGATGTATAATAAATGAGGAAAACTGAAATTTTAGAATTAACCTGATCTTAATTGCCTTCACACTACACAGCTGCATATTGGTAACTGGACGATTATTGATTTTCAGTTGTTATATGCAGGTGTTTGAAATATGTTGTACATCAACATAAAGTTACAGACTGCTTTGCGGACATTGGGATTAAAACAGTTGTGTTTTTCTAATAGTTTGTGTATGCATTACTTTGAGATTGACATCCTTTTTTTTTTTCTGCTACCCTCAATAGCCAACTACAAAACAGGGTTTGTATTGTTTAACTTAGGGGTCGGCAATCTTCAGCACGTGGCCCATCAGGGTAATCCGCTGGCGGGCCGCGAGACATTTTGTTTACATTGACTGCCACAGGGACATGCTGGCCGCCGCTTCCTGCAGCTCCCATTGGCCGTAGGGTGACCAGATCACCACACTAAAATATCGGGACACATTAGGGTGCCATCAGCCCCACCCACAGTCCACCCCCGCTCCTCCCAGGCTCCGTCCCCACTCTGCCCCAGGTCTCGCCTCCCCACTGCGCCTTTCCTCATCCCCTGCCCCTCCTCAGTCCCCCACCCACTGTTCGCCTCCCTGCCTACTTGCCTGTCGCTTGCCTCTTCACCCCCCCGCCCGCCCTCACCCCCACGGCGCCGACTTCCCCTTTGCCGGGTGGGTGCTCGCCCACCCCCCGCCTCTTCCCGCTCCTGCACCACCCTCGCCCCGTCCCCATTCCACCCCCTTCCCCAAGTCCCTGCCCCTGCCTCTTCTCCACCTCCTCCCCTGAGTGCGCTGGGTACCTGCTCCTCCCCCCTCCCGGAAAGCGCTAAGCGCCACCAAACAGCTGTTAGGAGGCAGGAAGCACTGGGAGAGGGGGAGGAGTGGGGATGCAACGCACTGGGGGGAGGGAGGGAGAAGGAGGCAAGGAGGGGGGAGCTTGGTTGCAATTTTTCCCATGGGTGCTCCAACACTGGAGCACCCACGGAGTCAGCGCCTCCCTCCCACTCGCCTCCTTACCTGAATATCTGGACAAATGGCGTCCCGATCGTACATTGATCGGGATGGGAGACAAAGGGTTAAATATCGGGACAGTCCCAATTTTATCGGGACATCTGGTCACTCTAATTGTCTGGGAACGGCGAACCGCGGCCACTGGGAGCTGCGGGGGGCCATGCTTGCAGATGGCCAATGTAAACAAAATGTCTCACGGCCCCCGAGCGGATTACCCTGATGGGCCGCATGCCGAAGACTGAGAGGGGACGTGATAGCAGTTTTCCGGTATCTAAAAGGGTGTCATAAGGAGGAGGGAGAAAACTTGTTCACCTTAGTCTCTAAGGATAGAACAAGAAGCAATGGGCTTAAACTGCAGCAAGGGAGGACTAGGTTGGACATTAGGAAAAAGTTCCTAACTGTCAGGGTGATTAAACACTGGAATAAATTGCCTAGGGAGGTTGTGGAATCTCCATCTCTGGAGATATTTAAGAGTAGATTAGATAAATGTCTATCAGGGATGGTCTAGACAGTATTTGGTCCTGCCATGCGGGCAGGGGACTGGACTCGATGACCTCTCGAGGTCCCTTCTAGTCCTAGAATCTATGAATCTATAAAAAAAACCCTGGTTTAACTGAAGAGAATATGTTGACTAGTATCTATTGAACATGAAGGAAAATGCAATACTGACTCTTTCTGCTTTGCCGTATTCTTACTTGCAGACTCCAAGGCCTTCAACAAATATGAGGAGTTTGGGATGAGAAATGTTAGTTTCCTGCCATTTTATTTCTCATTTGAGGTCTTTTTGTTGTTGTTGTTGTTGAGTTGGTGTCTTGATATTGTGTATCTAAAAGCCCAGTAGAATTACATCAATTAACCTTTTCTCCAAAAGTGACAGAAAATAGCCTCTTGATATTTCATGGTGTTCCTAACAGAAGTCAGATAATGTAAGAAACTGTTTAAATCATCTTGATGTCCACTTAAGAGAGTTTCTTTTTATATTTTATAGGGATATTATGGCTCTACGGAACCGTGTTGCTTCAAATTCACCACCACTGGAAAACAATTTCTTGCAGCTTAAGCACTATGTCTTTATTTTTCTCATGGTTCTGGTGCAACTTATCATCAATTTCGTGTTCAAATAGAAGGTCTGAACAAAAGACTCTTTGAACTGGAATGCTCATATACTTACTGGGACCATATTTTAAGTTGGTTTGGACTTTAAATGATGCAATATTATCTAAAAGAGCCCTGTAGTTAAAACTTAAAGAACTTCACCTCAAATCTTTATGCGTACATGGATCAAGATCTGTCGTATTCCTGCCTAGCCAGTTGAAGTGGGAAATGTGTAAGTGCCAGTACTCTCTTGCTCTTTGTGTATGCCTCACACAAACACAACAATAGCCTTCTATCTATAATAGCTCATAGGCTGTACTAACAAATTTCAGTACAGAAAATGTCAAACTCAAAATTCAGAAATCTGTTCCCCTCTCAGTGGGGACACGTAATGTCTATTGATAAAGATAAATTGAGAAAAGAACAAACTTAAATTAACAATTTTGTAACAAAATAACTTCTGAAGTAACCAGCTTTACTATTTTATTGAAAGTACTGTATGGTGAAACGTGTTTCAGATCAAACAACACAAATACATTAGTAAGCACCATAAGTAATAGGAATTGGCTCAACACAGAGTTGAAGGCTTTACCTGAAATCTTCGTGTTTTAATGCTCTGATTTGGGAGGAGGTTTTTCTAAATATATGGCAGTATTTTAATTCTAGATTATTGTGGTGATATACAAACCACTAGATTTTCATGGTTGGCCACTTCAAACCTTTTATTAAAAACGCTGTCTTACGTTGTACAAAGAATGAATTGTACAACTGTACAGTACCCATAACGACTACTAAGTTAATGGTCCACCAACATTTCCATTATGAATCCATGTGTCAGAGATTTATAACTATGTAGTTAATTTTTTCTCAGTTTACTAAACTTGAATTAAATTGTGTGGGCACTTCCAATAAGTTGAAGAAGATAGACTACTGCTATCAAATGGTTTATTTGGTGTTTCTGTAACTCAGAAAAAAATATTAACATACAAAGCTGTGTTAAGTGTGAAGGGCTTGATGTTAAGTTCCAAAATGAAAGGCAGTTTAGAACTAAGAGTTCAGTCCTGCTATTAGATTACCACTGCTAATTTTATAAAATACACAGCAACAAACCTTAGCTGTTTAAGAGCAAGATGAAGCCCTAAATCTTCATTAAATTCCTCCTTATTGCAGTATATACACACCATGGAACTCATCCCGATATTCCACAATTGGACAAACTAATAATATAGAAGTTGGACTTGGATTTTAAATGTGACTTTTTATTCTAACATGGTTTTGGTCTGAATTGATATGTTTCCAAACAACCAATTTTTTTAAGCAAAATTAAGTTTAGATACCAGCATTTACAGGGTGAGATCTCCCTCCCTCCTCCCCCCATTTTGACCCATCTACACAAGTTAAAAGGGGCTCTAGAATCCCAAGTTCTAGATGGGGAGACCTTCCCTGGTGTAGACGCTGTGGAAGCCAGCCATAAGGCTGTTTTCCAAGAAGCCCTTCTCAAGTCTTGGCATGCAGGGGGTAGGGCCACAGCACTGCAGAGATTCTGGGCAGTGCAGTGGCTGATGCAGCAGCCTTTCAGGAATGCCCTAACTTAAACAGGCCCCAGGGCTCTCTAGGTAACACCGTGGGCCTCTCCAGCCCCTAGAATAACCCATGACTGGCAGGATACAATGGTGTTTTAAAGCCACCTTCCCTTGGGCTGAGAGTCCTGTGCTCTACCAGTCTCATCCAATGTTAATGCAAGTAAAATTTAGTTAGATTTGTGCTTTGTCTAACCAGCTTTTATCTTCCTGTGTCCCTAACATACAGTTTTCCCCAGTCCTTTATTGCCCCCACACATGAGACAGATTTTACTCTTTAAGCATCCTGCTTAAATTTGGTAATTCCCCACCCCCTTTGTCATAATGTAGTTTTGTCTTGAACCATTCTCTACAGTAGTACTTCTCAAAGTCGGGCCACCGCTTGTTCAGGGAAAGCCCCTGGTGGTCCAGCCCGGTTTGTTTACCTGCCGCGTCCGCAGGTTCAGCCGATCGCGGCTCCCACTGGCCGTGGTTTGCCGCTCCAGGCCAATGCAGGCTGCGGGAAGGGCGGCCAGCACATCCCTCGGCCCACACCGCTTCCCGCAGCCCCCATTGGCCTGGAGCGTCGAACCGTGGCCAGTGGGAGCTGAGATCGGCCGAACCTGCGGACGCGGCAGGTAAACAAACCGGCCCGGACCACCAGGGGCTTTCCCTGAACAAGCAGCGGACCGGCTTTGAGAAGCACTGCTCTGCAGCACTGTTCTTTAACATGACTATAATATAGACCGGTGTTGTGTACACAGGCACAACCAAATTCTTGTAACTTGGTTGGAACACTATCGTGTTATACCTTGTGATTAAATTTTTAAAATATAGAAAGAGCTTTACTGTAGAGAGGAGATAGTTCAACACAGTAAGTTCCTAATAGAAACTAAAGGTGGCAGCCATATATAAAATGTTAGCAGTAATAACATAAAGGGTAGGTTAAAAGATGAAAATAGAATGTTGTAATACTGATTTGACACTGCCAGCATTCAAGAGATTGTCATTACACCACTCACATAGAGAGATCTCTTATGCAGATCTGTTCCAAGACCTGCAATGTAGTTGGTATACTCGTATAATTTGTGCTATACATGACAGGGGACACATGATAATACATAGGCAAATGTGAGAGCTAACTAGCACTACCCCGAGAATTTGGGCAGTAATATTAGATCCCTGAGATATTCCTACAGTTTTTATGTGTTGAACCTCATATTTGGTAATAACTTATCTAAATTTAAAAAGAATGTTTGTTAAAAATGTCCATCTTGCTCAGTGTTTATGGTTTTTAACTGTTTTTTTTTTTTCAAGGGCAGTTAAGGTGAAGCCCTTTACGGATATATTTTTAAACTGACTTTAATTTAGTATTGATTTGCAAGCGTGTATAGAACTGCATATTTATACTCATGCTGCCATTGTATAGGTCAAAATATTGTAATCGCTAGCTGACGGTGTTTTGGCCCATATCAGAATACATGTGTGCACACCATATATTCCATATTTGAGATCCTGCCCACTTCAAATCTTGTGTTTTGCATATGCATATACTTAAATAAGATGGAGCTAGACAAAATGCCCTTATTTACATGCAAGGTTATTTTTTTCTCCTCTCTCAATATGTTTTTAGAGCCTATCTAAGATATAAGAGCTGTTGGTTTAATTCCTGTCCCAAGAGGCAAGAGTACTTCATGAAATTTTTTAATGAAAAAGTAAAGCAACAGGTCTGCTCTTAGGTGTATTTATTACTCGTATTCTAAAAAGCACATGCACTGAAAGCCTGATAATTCCTATTTTGCTCTTCTTTGTATGTAATTCCCTTATGTGAGCAGAAAAAGGAATTTATTGCCTGATTTTTAGGGTAAGGTTGATTACAGGCCTGGTTTGTAAAGCCTTTTCTTAATACATAATTAACTTCATATTTAGCCACGATGTGTAGTTGATCTTGAAATATTCTTTACTACAGATTATCAGTTTTCTGCACATAGTCATAAAAACTCTGCTTGTACAGTTTGCAGATATCTGAAGGCAGTGGCCTCCTGCTAGTTTTTAATATTTAAAACAGAGCACTTGTTTTCTCACTTGATTAGATTCTTTATTTTTTTTTTCTTGTACAGGAATTAGGAAATATTCTGAACTGATGGTTGTTGCCATGTGTTTTTTGATTGTTTTTTAAAATGCACTCTAAGCCTTTAATTTGCCACTTAACTACTGTAGTTAGGTATAATTGACCTACAAAGAAAGTAAGCGTCATGTGAAGAGCATAGTTCCAGCAATAGATAATGTTTGTTGTATTTCATATGTTGGTTATTTTAAAAATAGTTTGCATTATTTATAAGGGTACAGCATGTCTTTTTTTTTTTCCCCCTCCAAATTAAATCCTGAAAACTTCATCTTATTGTTGTCTTGTAAGATGTTTCATGGATTTTTACAGTTCAATGCCCTTCTGTGCCTTTGGGAAATCCTTCTTGTCAGTTTAATGTTAATGAAACAAAATTTGGATTCAGTATATTTGTCTAGCATAAATTGGTGGTAGTTTTTCTTAAAGGCCATTATTTCATCACTTAGTTTTCTTTTTGTAAACAAGAATGCTGTACTCTTATGAAAGTTTGACTAATCATTGTATTTCAAATATATCCTGAACTCTTTGGACATCATTGAAAATAGTCAGATATTTCTGAGTATTGTAAACAGTGCCTTCTTGATGGATTTCACACTGTTTTGAGGTGTATAAAGAAGACTTGTCAAATTTGTGCCATACATACAACTGACCTTTTGTGGGGGCTATGTTTTTGAAAACTATCTTTCTCCCTTCGTCAGATTTTTGAAATCACTATAAAAAAAATCCATCCTTCCACTTCTATTTCAGTTTTCTTGAATTTCTAGCTAGTGAGCAGTGTGTCTGGTCTTTGCTTTTTTGGTCTTCTGTACAATGAAGCTGCAGTGCTTTGTTTGTGATATTAAAGAAATAGCCATAATAAAAGCTTAACATCACAGATAGATTATTTTGGCTTCACTTTGTACTTGACTAAATTTAATCGAGAAATTAACTGATACAAAGAAAAAATTGGGGGGAGGAGAGATTTTCAAGGGCACAAAGGGCAACAAGGCACCCAACTCCCATTTGTGTGTCTTGAAAATCTTCCCCTTAAGCATGTATACCTTTTTAATTATCTAGCCATTTTGTACAAACTACAAACCAAAGGTATATTTAACTGCATGGGGAAAGTGCTCTTTAAAATACATAGCTTGCCACTATTATCTAATTCTTCATTTTTCTCTAGTTTCAGAACTTCAGGTAACTCAGACTAGCACATTTTTATTCACTTTTTATTATGTTACATATTGTTTGAATTTTTGTACTGTTACATTTTTTTAGAAAATTGAAAATGGACTGTTATACAAAAGCTGTATAGGACCAGTGTTTCATTAATCCAATTCACAGAATATGTAAAGAGCCAGATCCCATGACAAAAATGAATGTGAATGTATGTACTAAAATATTTATATAGGGGGAAAATCCTTTATTCCTGTATGTTTTGTTTCGGCATATATCATGTTAAAATTGCTTTAGTATAGTATTGCACAGGTTATTTAAAAAAAAAACATGCTCCATGTAGTGTTAAGAACTACTATGAATTATTTAGAAAGATCCACAAGTTGTGACCATATTGCATGCTTAAATGTACATCTGAGTTCAACATTTTGTTAAATGGCCATTTGTAAATTAAAGCACTACCACTGGTCAATAGTTTTGTATGACTAATGAATAGAATAAAGAGATGTCACCAATAGCATAAGCACCGTATGCTGAGTCATGTTTGTGTGTCTGACACCACTACATTTAAACAGATGATAAGAATGGTACTGAGAGGAACATTTCAAATTTGTTACAGAATCATTTATCCCTGAGTTTCCATTGCTCCTTATTTAGTTTCTATTTCTGGTTTCTGATTACAGATTTAGTATTTGGTCTGCCTAGGGTATCTATTGTAGGTGTTTTACTGTGGTAAGAGGTCTCTGGCAATTTAACTTGTACTGTTTGTTTATTTGTTCTGCTGCTGCTAGGATATCATGTTCTCATTTTGATTAAAATTTCCTCAGGGAGCGTGTCTTGGCACTTAAGTAATTAGACCAAATATTATAAATTAAATAGCAGGCGACTTTGTGGTGGGTTTGCTGATTTGGTGTGAAGGTTAGTATTAAGATGTTGCGGTGATTTTACATATATTAGGGCTGTCAAATACTTTTTAAAAATAATTACAGTTAATCACAAGATTAAAAAAATAGTTGCAATTAATCACAGTTTTAATTGCACTGTTAATAATAGAATACCAATTTAAATTTATTATAAATATTTTTGGATGTTTTTCTACATTTTCAAATACACTGATTCCAATTACAACACAGAATACAGAATTCAGTGCTCACTTTATATTATTTTTATTACAAATATTTGCATTAAAAAAAAAGAAATAGTATTTTTCAATTCACCTCATAGAAGTACTATAGTGTATAACCCTGGTTGAGAACCAGCACATGCCCCTGGGGGTACGCAGAGGTCCTCCAGGGGATACATCAACTCATCGAGATATTTGCCTAGTTTTACAATAGGCCACATAAAAAGCACTAGCAAAATCAGTATAAACTAAAATTTCGTTCAGACTGTGATAAATGAAAGGGGGGGGGGAGAGTAGCTCCCTTTGATGGACACCCAGCCAACCAGTTAGCTGTAAAATCCTGCTTGGTAGCTGTTCTCTACTTATTTTACCTATAAAGGGTTAAAAAATCCCCCAGGTAAAGGGAAAAAAGTGGGCACCTAACCAAAAGAGCCAATGGGAAGGCTAGAACTTTTTAAAATTGGGAAAGAAACTTTCCCTTTGTCTGTTGTTCTCGCTGGGCTGAAGAGACGGGCAGCAGGAATGCTGTGTAAAGTTTGAACCCTCAGATCATATCTAGAACTACTTTTAAGAACCCAAATATGTAAGTAAATTAGGAATGATGCAGTTAGGTTTATTTCTGTTTATTTTGCAAGGCTTGTGGACTCCTCTGTGCTAACCCCAGATGCTTTTGTTTGCTTGTAACCTTTAACCTAACCTGCAAGAAAGCTATTTTGGGTGCTTAATTTTTGGAATTGCTGTTTTAAAATTGGTGTCGTAAGAGGTTTGTGCATGTTATTTGATTAGATGGTAGCAACAGCTAATTTCCTTTGTTTTCTTTCTCAGCTCTTCCCCGGAGAGCGGGTGAAA